TATAATTTTGTGATAAATCAAGCAAATATTGTTTAATCATTTTATAAATTTCTTATTTTTATTATTTAAATATATTGCATATTTTAACACCCCCCCCCCCCCCCCCCCCCCCGGGACTCTAATAGAACTAAAAAGAAAAATAGTTAGAAATCTATCTTAGCAGTTTGCTATGTTCACGCTAGGTAGGCTTTGCATTTTGCGAACTCACTTTCCAATTTACTATGTACAGGTCATAAGACGAGAGCCACAGAATGCCACCTCATGATACACAATCGACCCATGCTAGATCCCCGGGATCCTCCTCCTGCGGTGCCAAGATACTATTCTAGGAACTCTTGAGAGGATACGTTAGCTAGTAGCATCTAATTCGTCTGTTACTCCATGATGCCTTTTTCTAATTGGTCCCCTTGGTCACTTTTCTCCGTTTCAATTATCTCCACCGAGGTCATGGCTAGACCTAGAACAGTCATGGATAATTCCCAGGATGCTCCTCTTATAGACCTTAGGCTTACGATTCCCAATGTTGAAGGAGATACAATTTAAAAGCCGCGATGCCCAGCTCATTCACACGCAAGGATTGGAGTTGACAGGGACATACCTGAAGTCTTTGTTTGAGGTGGTTTTTTTCTTCTCTCCCGTTCCACCAACTTGTGGATTTTCGACTTCAAATTTTCGCTAATTCTGGCGTATCCTCTCCTTCATTTTCAACTTGAACAGATTCCAGCTCGCGGTCGTGAAAAGCCATAAGCTGCCATACTGTGATCTTGTCGATCACTAAGTCGTAACTCTCTATATAATACCACTTCATCTAGATCTCCATATATATTGCGGAATACTACTACTCTTTGCCGATCACATCGTCGTCTCTAGATCCCCCCCACCAGTTCCAGTTCCCACTTAAGCGTTTTCTCGAAATGTCTGAAGACGGCGGTGCCACAGGAGCGCCCGGTGCTCATGCGCACCACGATAACGATCTGCCCGCGCTTCATATCCCTACCGAGCAAGAAAAGAAGCAACCTACTGTTCAGGAAGATGCCTATCCTATCTCGCCGCGACGCCATGCATCGACACCAAATCCTTTCAGCCGGAGAAATACGAGCATTGATATAGATGATTATTTTGTATGGTGCAAATTTCCCATTATTCTGTTTTATGAATGCTGACTCTTGTAAACGTCTAGACCGGTCCTCGTGATACCTCCAAGCATTCAAAATGGCCCCTGTTCATGCAGTTACACGGAAGCATCCTCCCTAAAATGATCGTACCGCTACTTGTTGTCGCCGCTTGGGCAACTCTCGTGACCGTCATCTCGAAAAAAGTTGAAGGAGTTAATCTGGGGATTAAGTCCATCCTTCTTACTGTTACTGGTTTCGTCGTGGGTCTAGGTTTATCCTTCCGCAGCTCGACGGCATATGAGCGATATGGCGAGGGCAGAAAATATTGGAGCCAGTTGATATTCGCCTGTCAAGGTCTCGGCCGAGTGTTCTGGATACACGCCGTTGAGCGAGAGGGATCGTCCAAGCGGGACCTATTAGCCAAATTGTAAGATCCCCGTCGGGGCCTTTAGGTATGATCTTATCCGCTAACCAGAGCTAGAACCGCTATGAACTTAATCGTAGCCTTTGCTGTATCCTTGAAACACAAGCTCAGATTCGAACCGTACACGTACTACGAGGATCTCTCGGACTTGGTTGACCATCTCGACACCTTTGCTAAAGCTGCGACTGAAGAACATACTGTAAAGCCGAGAGTGGGGCTGTTTAAGGCGGTCGGAGAGAATCTCGGATTGTCTTTTGCAGCCTCAAATCCTCGTAAGTTGATGAAGAAAGCCCAGACCCCTCTCGGTAATCTTCCTCTGGAGATCCTCTGCTACCTCACGGCATACGTGGACGAATTAGCTCTCAATGGCCAACTACCCGTCCCAATGCAGCAGACCTCTGCCTGTAAGTAAATTCCAGCTTCAACAAAATACCTACAAAAATTTACTAACATACCTAACTTGTAGACAACCAACTTCAAGCCTTGAACGACGTTTTAGTTGGCACCGAGCGAGTTCTTAACACACCGCTTCCTATTGCCTACGCCATTGCTATCTCGCAAATTACCTGGATTTATGTGTTCCTCCTGCCATTCCAATTGTTCCTGGAACTTGGCTGGATAACAATACCGGCGACAGTAGCTGCGTCCTATATTATTCTAGGCATTTTCTTCATCGGCCACGAAGTCGAAAATCCCTTCGGCAACGATGTCAATGACTTGCCTCTGGATCTATTCTGCCAGCAGATAGTGCAGGATATGGAAACTATTGCGGCGCGCCCCAAGCCTCGCCTTTCCGAGTGGGTCGAGAACCCCAAGAACAAGGTCTTATATCCTCACAGCGAATCGAGCTATGGTATATGGGCGCAACGACCCGAGTCGGCTATTCGGAATGCGCTACGGAACCGACCACACGCTGGATTTGATAAGATGGGCGAGAGCGGTATAAAAGAAGCCCATACCGTATGAGATTGCGACGAGGGCTGGCTCTAGCTTTGTTGAAACTCTATCCGTCAATAGAGATGATTCTGCTATGAGCATCCCCTAACCTCGTACAAACTTCCTTTATAGGTACGTAGGTAGGGAATCCCGTTTATTTTCTCGACGCTATATACCTTTTAGAGTTTTATCTAAGTTTCTTTTAATTATTGGGATCGGAAAATAGGATAGCATGTTGGCGGTATTGTTTATGTCGTATGTCGTTTGGATTTAGCGGGATTGTGTAAAAAAGAAGTATTATTCGTTAAGCGGACGGGGAAAATAAAACAGCAACATGGATAAATAAAAGCGGCGAACCACGATGTTTACCCAGTACATAAAATAAATCGATATATACATAAAAAGTCCCATCTTCACGTATTGTTTTAGTGGATGCGACCGAAGCTCGTTAACTATTTCCCTCCCTTCCTCAACTGGCTGATTTGACACCGACTAATAATCACCGGCTAACCTGTGATGTATGAGTTATATCATAGCCTTTTCTCCAATGCCACACTGGCCATCTCTCCTCGTCACGCATTGGGATCCTTCCCAAAGAAGGTAGCTTACACCAAATATTTACTCAATTGGAGACGCACAATGGCTTCAAGAGATGCGACAAACGGGAATACGGGGCTGAAAAAGCGATCTATCGCAGGGTCCTTTCTTTTCAAACTTCCCCACGGCGATGGGAAGCAAGCCCAAGTGGCTTTGTTCAAACGTAGTGGCAAGGTCAGTACTTATCAGCACAAATATGCGCCTATATCTGGCAGCGTCGAAAAGTACGATGCCAGTCCGCTCGCCACGGCTTTGCGGGAGATCAACGAGGAGACGGGGCTTACACTCTCCTCACTTGAGCTGCTTCGCGTCGGCAAGCCATATTCTTTTGTCGACGAGTCTATAGGTCGCGAGTGGACCATCAACCCTTTCGGCTTTCGCCTCAAAGATAAGTCTGAAGGGGGGAAAGGGGAAGAGGGCATCACCATCGACTGGGAACATGAAGGATTCGAATGGTTTAACCCGTTGGATGTGAGTGAGTCCGACGAGTTCGGTGGCGTCCCCAAGCTCGTTACGAGTTTGCGAAGGGTGTGGCCCGAGTACGACCTAGGCCCGAGAGCGGGTAAAGTCCTGACGTCCGGCCTGCAACAGCTGCGGGAAGATCATGAGAGCGGTGCTAGGCAGCTTGCTGACTTGGCAATCTCCATTTTGAAGAATACCATCGAAGAGATGGATTCTGACGTGGTCGACGATAAATGGTGGGCAAATATCCGAATGGCCGCATGGCATATTTGCAAAGCCCGCGAGAGTATGGGAGCTGCGATCACCAGCGCTACTGTCAAAGCACTTGACCTAGTTGAAAAAATCTTAGCTCAAGATTTATCACCTCCAGAGAAGATTCGGAACATAGCCGATGCTATTGAAGAGCAGCTAGGTCGACGTAAATCTACGACCGACCGTATTCGTGACGCATTCGTTGACTACCTCCGGCAAAATGTCGTTCAAACTATGCCACTAAAAGAAACGCTTTCTATCCTTACACTGTCATCTAGCTCTACTATATCGGCATGTCTTTTGGAGGCTGCTGTTCACCTAGGTGTGTCGGTTGATCTTCGTATTCTCGAATCGAGACCACTCTACGAAGGTGTGACTTTAGCATCGAAGCTGCTCGAGGCTAAACCGGAATCGGTAGATTTAAAAGTGACCATCTACACAGATGCTTCTGCAGCTCTAGCTGCCGATGGAATCGATATATTTGTCCTTGGAGCTGATCGCATTAGCTCAACAGGTGATGTTAGCAACGTAAGTCAATATATACCTACCTACCTACCTTAGGTACCTACCTTACATACACTTCGTATTGTTTTCTATCGAATCCCACCGACTAGTAGTATCGGCCTCCTAATGAAGTTCCCAGAAAATTGGATCTCTGCCTGCACTTCTCTGCCAGAGACATGTCGTACCCAATGCTAAGACGGTTATACTAAGTGAAACCGAAAAGGTAGCTGGTCCAGGCATGATAGAAGATCACCCGGTAGAGGAAAACAGTCCGACAGAAGTTATACGCGCCTGGAAAGGAAATGTGAAAGGAGTTGAAATTATAGAAAGATTTATGAGTGACGATGAGAGCGGTATAGCAAAAGGAAGTAATGCTCGGGTAAGGAACTCGTACTTTGAATGGGTTCCTGCAAACTTTATCCACGCCTACATCACAGATGAAGGGGTTTGGTCCATCAAAAACATTACAGAAAGATCAGATTGGGTCGGTAATGAGATGGACAGGTTCTTTAAGGATCTTTAGTGCGGGTTGTAACATAAGAATTAAGAGACTGTACAGTCAACTGAGAGGCTATATGAAGAATAGCTCTAAGTAGGTACCTAGGCCCCTAAGATATTTGTCTACAACAGGTACTTAGATTTGGTGGCGCATTATGTATAAGGCTAGTCAAAGTGGGAGACTTATCCTCGTTATCGTCTACAGAAAAGGTATCGCCATTAGGCAGCTGATTAATGCATGTCACAACTTGCTAACCCCTATGGTGTCGAAAAATGAGAACCTTGGTGGACTGTTGACAATCTTAAAAAACCAAGGGCTCACCCCCGCAATCATGATTTCTTGGTACTTCACTTGCCTTTGGGTATTTTTATGAGTTAACCTTCAGGATTATCTTCATCGTTTCGCTTAGTTTATTATATGTCAGATGAACTGTTTTTGACCTTAATATTCCATTTAATTCTACGCTTCAAGATACATAACTAGTCGACTGTTTCTTGTGTATTCCCTATCGCTTCTTGCGGACTACATCAAATGAGGGAGTTTCTTCATTAGGTAGTCTTGAAGAACAAGGTACGCGTAGAATGTCAGCTAGGAATACATTTAACAGACTCCACTGGGAATCTTGTTGCTTCCTGTGCGCTTGGAGCTAGAGTACGCAGCACCCTCACCGAGTCCCCGCTTGGCAAAGGCGGTCCAACTAAAAAAACATCAGGGGTTAGCCATCGTATTAATCCAATGTATAAGGGTATTTACTTACAGCTCGCAGGCATTGTCACCGCCGGTCAATGCCTCGTCAGCGTCGATGATAGCGTCACGGGCTTGAATGAAGTTGGGGTTGCAGGGTTGGCTAAAAGGAATTGGCTGTCAGCTTCCGTCGCACTATCTTAAGACACCATCTCTTAAATCACTTACATCGCCATGGCGTCAACCACGAGCTTCAGAGCTAGGTACTTTCCGTCGGTTGGGACACCTTTCTGGTCGAATTCGGGCTTGGGACCGTCATTCTTGCCGTGCTTGTCAATCAGATTCCATAGGACTTCGTACAAGGTCGTGGCCCACACTTCGCCGATATCATGGACTTCATTGTACGTGTTAAGCGTGGTGTATTGGTACGGGTTGGTTTCGAGACTCGTCGAGTATAGGTAGTTTCGGATTCCAGCGGGGTTGTTGTAAACCCACGCGCCTAAGCTGTAGTCCGTGTTTCGGGTGTCGCCAGGCTTTAGGCGGATAGCTGTTGCGAAGAAGTCACCCCAGCCCTCGCCCATACCGCCCGACTCAAGCGCGTTCAGGCAGTTAGAGTTTGCGGGACCACCGGTGAGACGATTCGACACTAATAAGGGACAAGTATCAGCCAAGTTGATTCATAGGTTGCTGGATAAGGAAGAGATTGTTACTCACATCCATGGCTATATTCGTGGATAATGACGCCGGCCTCGAAGGCGCAGTCCCGATAGGGTGTCGAGTGCGTCCAAATGTACATCCTCATACGCCCGTTTTGTCCGTCGGGAGGTGTGGCGAAGTTTGCATTGTTGGTACCGGAGCCGTCCTGCGCGTTAAGGATGACAAAGTCATTGCCCTTGCCTCCCTGGCCGTTGTTGTTGGACTCGAAGTTGCCGGCCTGTTCGGTGAATCCTAGATCGTATAGCAAGTCATGGTACGTGTTCGCCGTGTAGAAGAGCTGAGCGACAGAGGCATCCGCATACGACGACGGCGGCGTCAAAGTTGAATCCCACTTATATTCGAATTTGAGGGACGCGCTGTTCGGACGGTAGTTGTTGAGATAGCTCGACCCACCGTTTGGATTGGTTTGGGCAATGCCGTTGTCTAACGATAAAGTATAAGGTCAGTCATTATATCGTACCCACTGCTATACGCAGCAATCCATGTTCCGCCTTGAGACGGCGTAATATATAGTTTGGCATTAGCTTACTTCCGCGCGTAGTTGTGTAGTTGGTACTTCCGTCAGATATCCATGTGAACTCGGATGTCTTAAGGTCCCACGGGTCCGTTACGATTTCGCGCTTACCCTCATCAGGGTCATTTGTTCCCCACGGGCTGTTAAAGGGTTAATCTCGAAGCATCGACAATGATGGGTTCAATTATACTTACTAGACGAGGTATGTCGCATCGGCGACGTAGTCGACCACGCCGTGGACTTCAGCGTTAGTGCTCGCATCGACATATGATAACAGCCAGTTATCTAGGATGTCAGTTTCTACCCTCCAAGTGAGAGCTAGATTTCCATCAGGCTTGACGAGGTAGACTAGGCGTGCTTCGGGGTCTTTCATCGCGCCTGAAGTTCCCTTGAGCACGTAGGTCTCAATGCCATCGACGGCCTCCGCGGACGCATCTCCAGTAACAGGCAAGTCCAAAATCTTGGTAGCCCCTGAGAGCGCCTGCGTCGGGTCTGAGAAATCCCGCTTGTTAAGAGGGTTTTCATCAGGGATAGAGCCCGTGAAAAAGGAGTTGCCGTATGAGAATACGCTTCCATCTTTACCGATCTAATAAGTATTAGTTCCAACTCGTTTGCTTTTCCTATGACAGGTACCTAAGATTAGGTACCTGGTATGAAGACTTACGTTGACGTTGAAGTCAGCATTGTCAATGTCTAACCCGTGAGCCGTCTGCTTGAAGTTGACGTGGGCAATCCCATTATTGCCGACGTAGTGGTCATCGACAAGGCGGAATGTAGCTCCGGGGACAACGCTCTTGACAAGCTCAGTAGCGGTGTCGACGTAGGAGTCCCGCTTCAGAAGACGCACAGCCTGGTTGGTACTTGCCGCAGCCTTATTCGTGTACTCGGCCGTCTCCTTCAGGCGGTAGGCGTTTAAGTCTACCGTCCGGCGTCGGAGCCCAGCCTTATAAGGCTGGGTAGGGTGGCTGTGGGCGGGCAGCGACGCACCCAGAAGCCCGAGTAACAACAATGATCGGATCATCACGAAAAGGAAGCAGCAGAGATGGGCTTGCCGTGCTTGGGCATGATTGCTCTACGATCGTTCGGAGCTGAGCCTTTATATAGCTCGAGCTTCACGGTGCTCGGCTTCAACCCTAGCATTCCTTCCCACTGAGCTTCCTCTTTCGAAAAGGTTCGCGATAGTTGATAAACATGGCGCTTATCAACAGGGTCGGTGTTTGACTTGCCTTGATTTATCAGCCCACTAATCACAGTCGTGTGCCGTTGACCGAACGTCTTACAGATATGTCTCCATTCAAGAAAGCAGTCAAAGACTCATGAGCGCAGCTCCCCATTGGTAGGGGTGTACGATAAGTTTGATAGCCTTCCCCTCCCCTGTGGCCTACGAGATCACGAAGGGAAAGCAATTGCCAGTTGCGGCGATACACCGCACGCCTTAACAGGGGCTTATGACATTCGGCGCAAGTCCCTGAGTGCAGTACTATGTAGGTAGGCCGGTTAGTTAGCATGCCAAGATATCCGAGGTCTGGACTGGAGACGAAATAGCGCCGGACTGCTTCATCAGTCGGGCTCCAATTTTGCGATATGGCGTGCCGGGTGAGGTTAAACCTCTTATTCAATTAGTCTTTGTCGCTTGTCTGCTTTAGGTACCTAGGCTCGGAATTGTCTGAAGCTAGCGGACCCTCCTCTCTCTCCCGCCATTCATGGCTTTGGAAGTCATTATTTGTCTCTGCGATCATGCTTCAACAGGCAAAATTGCTGGAGCCTCTAGAGGATCACGAACAACACCCGTGAGACTGTCAATATGATTGGGGCTTGAAGGTGTAGTCAAGCAACTTCCAATTTGAGAATGTTTCTTGTGCTCGCATCTCCAGTACATCTCGACTATGACACATTCTTGTCAAGGCTTAGCTCCAATCTTTTGGCACTGCTGAGGGTCAGCCTTGGCACGTCGGCTGACCTCCACTACACCAATGTCGCAATCCGCACCCCGGCAGACGTGAAAGTAGGACTAAGTTGGGGTGGGCGCGTGGTACCTTGATTTCTATGGTAAGGCACGTCGAGATAAGAACTTTTAGCTTGGCGGGTGCAACATTTATTGCTCAAGTGCTAAAGCCGCTTGCTCTACGTGGGGGGGACATGTGCGCTTGGCTCTAGGTAGGTATTTATGCTGCAACTATAGATTGGCCTAGGACTCTAGATGGACATGACTGGTCTGTGAGCTTAAAAAGTGGTCGCTACAACTCTTACGTCCCGAATATTGATTGGTAGTTCTATCTTGCAGACCTTCCTAGAGAAGTAAGACGACCGAGACTTCAACCACAATTTTTATAGCTCTGTCGCAAAGCAAGCTGGATCCAAAGCAATTATCAAGCGCGGCAGTTTACTACTTTGCTTCCCTGGCTGACTCAAACTTTATTATTCCTTCGGCTTTTGAAAGATACAAGCTGGAGCTTTCTTGGGGTTCATGCGAACACATTTACGATCCTGGGGATGATCTTGAAAAGCCTAGATCCTCCGCAAGTTGCTTGATATTCCCCAAAAGTCGAGTCTACAATATCCAACGTAGGGCTCGGGCTCAAGCTAACTGCTTCTATAACTACCTACCTACCTAACCTAATATACCACGCGAAAGGCATTTTATGTCTGATCTTTCTTTAGGTAGGTAGTATTAAGCTAGGAACCATACATTTCCTTTCGATGCCCTTTTCGAAGCAACAGTCTGCCGTTCGTCTTGGCATAATCGAACGCCGACTATAGCGGGATGATACTATGTCAATAGTGCGAGAGAGAACACACGTTCTATTGTTACTAAGGTACCGGGTTCGCTTTCTCCGTTCAAATGCAGATATACTCGCCGAAGCTTCTGGTGAGCTCGTTTCCTTTTTGGGGCTGTCCTTCCCTTTGGCCCCAATAATAATACGATTAATATTATCACGATCCACCTATAATAGCATTGCATAATGGGTCATAAATAACTGCCTCATCTGTTTAGCTCTGCAGGAGGCGCTTAAGTGAACCTAGCAATCTCGTATGGATCAATTGCGGTCTAGAAAGATCGGGTTTGAGATGAGATGTTACTGGGACTCTTAGCTGCTTAAGTGTCCTAGAACGGCCTCACCTCTCTTAGCTTGTACAATGGACACGAGATCCACGCCTCTTGCGAAATAGCGGGGATACTGCGTGTCTCCTAAATGGAAATCCAGCAAATTGTAGGATAGGTATGATATTTGGACTCTTAGAATGGTATTGTCGTCATCTGGAGGGTAGATTGGGCGGCTTTATACTGTCCTAATCTAGCAGATCATTACCTATAGACTTGGTAGTATAATGGATATAGTCTTCGACATGAAAGCGAAACAAGGCCACAAGAAGATATGAATCTGAGCATTTACGATGAAACAATAGTGTGTCGTTAGTAGAAGACGTTATCAATGCGAGTCAGCGCAGTCAAACTAGCCTTTCCAGACCAGTTCAGTCATACTTCTTCCTATTTGATGTTGGTGAAATTGAGGAGAAGCTGGTCCAGTTGTCTCAAGCGACATTCAACGATTTTGCTCACCGTAGCCTAATTTATATCCTCCAATATATTGATAACACCGTCCATCAAGTTTTCGGATTGTGACTCCGAGAGGAGGGGGGGACTGAATATACCAATATTCATAATATCCTCGCGTACGGCCACTTCTATATCCAGTGTATGCTATTGACACATTTTATATTAGAGTCGTGGTATGTCTGTTTAGTACAGAGAGGTATTAACTTACTATATATGCTTTCATTGCTTCATCCTGGAGCCTGAAACACGCGCTTGGCTGCGGAAGTCTACATGATGGTCCATCCTTGTTGCTTCCCGTTGTCGGGTCATCAGGTATTTCGGTCATCGTAATACCACGCATCGAATACACATCATCCTCACCCATAGGTGTAATGAGGAAATTGACCGAACTTTCAATCCGTATGCCGGTCCAAGCGTAAATCTCCCATAGGCTTGCGCTAGCATTCTCGAATGTACCGATACTAAGAATATCTTTCTGGATCTCAGTAGCTAAATCAATAACCGAACGGCTAACTGGTTTTCTGACGAGAAGAGGTACAATGCTCAGTGTAGGAAATGGAGCCTTTTCGATTCCCGAAAAGCTGTTTCTATTTGCAAGGTAGATCCCAAACACAAGGTCTCTCTCCCGCTCATCTGGTTCGTTGAGCTGCTGCATAGTAGCTAAAGCTTTCGAGTAAGCTGCGAAAAAAAGTGCTTGTAGCGTGACACCATGCGCCGAACTGAAACCTTTAACCTTTGACACGTTATTTATCGCGTCTTGTCTAAACTGAGATATGACTTCAGCCTTCTGACCGGCATTTTCGAGTGAGGCTTTCGGAGTAATCATGTGCATTGGCGTTATTCCTTGGAGATATGTTGTCCAGAACAGCTTCCTTCGTTGCTGAACAGTAGGTGAATAATGATTCAAGACGAAATCATGCCACATAGGTTGATGCATCCTCTGGATCGGTGTCAAGCCATTCTCGCATATCTCTAAGAAACGGCCCATCAATACTGGCAGGCTGATGGCATCGTATAACGCGTGATGGATCTTCAGATATATAACGGGATTCTGTAGATTCAAATCTTCAACACGGATATGTAAGAAGGGCGTCGCAGAATGCTCGTAGACATGGCGACTTTGTACCTTATCTAGTGAGTCGGTGTCAGAAAACCTTGATAACTCTGGCTTCATGATGATTTGAACGAAGGGGATTCCGGGAAATTTGGTCGCAGCGAAATGAGTTCGGAGCGTCGGAGTTTCGGATACAAGTAAAGACCAGGCCTTCGAGATTATTTCGTAGCTAGTCCTTCCGTGAAGGCGAAAAGTGAATTGCGGGAAGAAGACAAGCCCGTTCGTGTTTTGCCATGTGCTTAGCATGTGCACTTGCATGGGTAAAGCCGGTAGAACCGCTTCTACAGCACTTTCATATAACCCCGCATCCCTAACAAGTGAGTCTATCTCAGCTTGCTTTAGTATTGAGTTAAGTTGAAAGGGGGAATCTCGACGCTGTTCTATTGGCCTGTTTCGGCCTGTTACCTGATCAACTATTTCGCGGATAGACGTCGCTTCGAGTAGGCCGCGGACAGAGACGACCAGACCTCGTTTTCGGATCATAGATGACGCTTTAATAGCGCTGATAGAATCCAGACCAAGGTAGTATATGGAACGATCGGGGTCGATAATACGCTTGTCTATCCCCGATAGCTCTGACAAGACATCTAGGACGGGTGATTCCAAGTCGCCGAAGTACGATTCTCCCGATATATGATCGTTTGAAGTTGCTTCTGTTGAGGCACCGACATCCTTCGTCAGATCGAACGGTTCTAGCCCGCAGATAGACACCTTGCCTGTCGTATCGAATTCGAGAATATTTGAATTATTCTCTGAAATATATCTCAGAACACTTTCAATGTTGGCTAGAATCCGATTCGTATCCTCTGGCGCGATGTAGCGTTCATCGCCAGCTATGCGCCATACGACCGATACTTTAGTCATTTCAATTTCAATGCACAATGGATAATCCACAGCGGAAGATGCATGGACCGATCGTAAGATGGTATTGTCATTTCCAACTTGGCTTTCCCCGGTATTTTGTAGGAGAAAGAGTGTGTTAAAAAGATCACCTCCTTTAACCTTGGATAATCTTCGGATTTCTCGAAGTGGGAAGTGTTGATATTCCATGACATCAGACATGCTAGCCTGTAAATATTCGAAATAACTTGTCGTCGTCCCATGGAGTATGACTCTTAGAGGCACAGTATTCATAGTCGGAAACAGTAGATCTCGAGCTTCGTCTGTCTCCCTCCCTGATAGAACTACACCAAAAGTAACGTCCAAAGACTTTGACATCGAAGCGAGCACAGGTGCCCAACATCCTTGAGCAAGGACCTGTGGTGTGATGTGGTGCTTTTTACACAAAGTCTTTATACTTTCTGGCCGTAGCGCAGATAGTAATTCCGATCGATGTGTGATCGGCTGATACTTTGTTGGTAGACTTGTAACGGGGTCAAGAATAATTGGATGAACATCCGTCAAGTAGTCAGCCCAAAAGCTCTCACCTTGAGTCGAGGAGCTGAAGAGCAGATGAGCAAGATACTCCTCATATCTACTTCGCGGGCGATAGTGGCCGTCGTATGCTGCTTGCACATCTTTATGTAGCAATTTAATTGACCATCCATCGTATAGGGCGTGGGCGATTGAGATTACGAGATAGCAACTATCCGGAGTATTCGCAAAGACGAGCTGAAACAATTTTGCCTTTCCGTTGGCCGCTGCTGCTATGCTCCTGGAGCGATTAATCACTGTCGAAATGTCGTCTAAACTAGAAAGCTCCATCGTCGGCTCAAATTCAAGGGGTTGTTCTCGGACAATTTGACAGAACGCGGCTTTACTGCTTGGGCTATCGACCTCTAAAAAGGTCGTCCGCAAAATTGGGGAATTGGCGTATACTGTAGCCCAGGCTAATTTAAGTCGGTTTATATCCGTGCTCTCTGATATTTCTAGTACGTCGTGATTGAAATATCGCTCGAAGTTAGATGATAGCATATCCGCCACCATGGAATCCTGCAAAGGAGTAGGTGGCAGGACGGCCGTGGCATCCTGAAGATCCTTTATTTCCTGTTCCAAGTAGCTTTCCAAGAAGGCACTCGAACTTTGTAGACGATTAGCCGCATTATGATCGTCATTGCCATTCATATCTGTAGTAATGTGTGAATGGAGAATGCTCTTGAAGGTAGGGTTTTTCATCAGCTCGCTGATTGTGATCCGAATACCAATCTTCTTAAGCCTCGAAGCGAGCTTGATTCCATCGATGCTGTCTAAACCAAGCTCAAGAAATCTTGTATTCTCTTGGACTTCTTCATCCGGTACTCCAGCCAAGGAGGCTATTTCATGTCTAACTTCCAGGGCTTTGACGTTGTCAAGTATTTTGGTGTTTATTTCCGCCTTGGAAACATTCGAGTGCACGAATGTCGTGCCTTGTAATACAGTACCTGGTACGTTAGACGATAACGAGTTGCTCAGGAGCATCGTTTCGTTGTCCGAATTGGCGAAGGAGACGAGGGTTTGGCTAAACTCTTCTAGTAACGAACTGATAGAGGATTCCGTGGCAACATCTTTTCGGGCGGCGAGGCTTGTACGCAAAGACTGATCTCGCAATAGAACTACCTCGAGCGCAAGAGAGTAGTCAGGAGTTGCAGCTGAATGTACCGCGGACCAAAATGATCTGGCTTCCGTTGCTGGTAGGACGTCTTCTCGGTCAAACGACAAGAGTATGTCAAATAACGGTTTGCCTTTCGAGCACCACTTCTGAATATCACGAAGCGGTGTATGTACATATTCTAACATAGAACTGTTATACTCCTGAACTTCTCGAACAAGCGAAAACCAATTTGAATGATTGGTGATGTCTATTCGGAATGGCAATGTGTTGAAGACCGGCCCAATTACGTTTTCTATGCCATCATAGAGTAGGGACCTCCCGGAGAAGACGACGCCAATATTAGGCACGAACCCGAGATGCTGGCGTAACGTAACCAACCACGCAGAAAGGATTGTAGTTTGGTGCGTTACACCGAGCGCTAGCCGTTGCGTTTCCAAATTGCTTACACTGATAACTCGAGATAATATCACGTCGTGTGCTCCTGGTTGGACTGTAATGGCGGGAACTGGTTGAAATAGGCTGTCTTTAAACATCCTCTCCCAGAATGGCCTTGATTCAATATGTTTCAAGAGCGGCCCGTGAGCCAAGATTTCAAAGAATGTAGGACTACATACGGGTGGTTCGTGGAAATACTTCTCGTTCACCCTTTGGAGTAGGAGTTCGAAGCTGCGTCCGTCGTAGATAGCATGAAAGAGCCGAACGAGGAGCATTCGTTTTCCACGATGTTCTATGTAGTCAATCTCCATAGGATTGAGTATAATATCCTGGTTTGACGCAATCCAGCGGTCTCGACGTTCCGATATGAGGGTTGTGATATCTTTCTCTTCAAAACTAATCTCAAACCAAGGCACGGTTGCTTTCCTTGTTGCGACTTGGATATATCCATCACCTGTGGGGAAGAATGTTGTCCTCAAAATGGCATATTCCGCAAATACGCTATTCCAACAACTTCTCAGGCGACCTAATGACACCTGCGGTTCAAGATATATATGGAATTGATTGAAGTAAGTCGACTGACCTTCGGCGGTCTTGTATCTCGTGATCATCCCTTCTTGGAGAGGAGTGCACGGCGCAATATATTCTATTTCTGCTTTGTCAACCTTCAAAGCCCTACACACTGCGCCAACATTTCTATAGTATCGAGCGCGAATCGACTGCTTAATTTGAAGTACTTGCCCGCTGAGAGCTATAGGTGCCCCTTGGGCGAGTGCTTCGGAAAGACGACCTAGTTCGGGATGACGTAAAATAAGCGAAGGAGTTGCAAGAGTGAAACCCCGGGACTGAAGAGCGATGGCTAGCCGCGCAACGTTAATCGAATCAATACCTAACTCAAATATCGAGGAGGACGGATTGACGTCTATGCCTTGAATTTCCGTGATAGTCGAAATAACCGAGGCGATTAACCGGTCCTTCTCGTCGAGCGTTCTCTGGGTGCCGGTTGAGCTCGCGGTACCATTTCGCAAATAATCATGAGGTAGATCTGCGAAGAGTTGTTTGAGACGTTTCGCGTCTGCTTTATTATTTGCAGATAGAGGAATGAAGGGCACGCAAAAGACGTAGGTAGGAACCATGTACCCAGGGAGTGAATTCCTGCAAGCTTCAAGCGCTGCCCTGGACAAGCTCAATGAACTTGAGTCGGATGAGATTTGCAAATCGGTAGAGCGTGACGAAGCCGTATCGGGAGCTAGGAAAGAAACGATAAGGTCTCTATCTTGTCCCATTAATCTTGTAACCAAGGTAACAACATCCGTTATTTGATTAGAGAGGCCGGACTTAATGGCGTGGTTGATTTCGCCAATTTCGAGCCTCTGGCCGCGAAGTTTAACTTGGTCGTCAGCACGACCTAAGAAATCAAACGAGCCATCATGAAGCACGCGGACTAAATCGCCTGTACGGTATACGCGCTCACCGTACCTCTCAAGGAACGGGAAACGTTCCTCGGTGAGTTCTTTCCGGTTCAAGTAACCCAGGCCGACGAGTCTCCCGGATACGCACAGTTCCCCGACACCGCCTCTAAGCACCGCGATTTCAGTACCAGGCTCCAAAACATAAGTGCCCACATTCGGGAATTGCTGTCCAATATTCGACGGCCTGCCGTTAGCAGGAACCCTCCGGAACATGGTAACTCCAATTGTCGCTTCCGTCGGGCCGTACGCGTTGTATATGACTCTCTTGGGTCCCCATACTTGCAGTATCTCTTGCCGAAGTTGCTCGCCCCCGGTAATAAAAATACCTTTACATAGGCTCGGAGTCTCATCTGGATGAATGAGTTTTGCTAGGCTCGGTGTCAGGTCAATATGGGTGATGTCCAAGGTTGTGATCGTGGCGGTTATGTCCGAGAGTATCAAATCCTTCGGAGCTGCAACGACGGTGATACCTACAAACCAGGACCAATATTGCTCCAAAACGGATACGTCAAAATGGAACGAAGCAAACTGTAGCCACCTAGAGTGGTTATCCCAGTGCCCAGAGAAGAGCTGCTCAAAAGCGAGCATAGCCTGGACGGCATTGTTGTGACTGATAAGACAGCCCTTTGGAGTACCAGTCGTACCGCTTGTGTAGAGACAGTAACACGTGTCTGACGGAGATCCCCGAGCAGGTTCTATGGGTGATACGGGAAATTTTAAGAGTTCTTCTTCCGTAACTGTGTAAGTTGGCACAGTTACGTCTAGATCCATGGTTGCAGCCAAAGATGATTCGATAAGTAAACAAGACGCATCAGAATCGCTCAAAATGAACTCGAGTCGCGATACCGGGGCACCAGGATCGAGAGACAGGAATACGCACCCCGCTTTGAGAATTCCAAGGATTGAGAAATATGCTTCCGGGCACTTGCTAAAACACGCTGCGACGATACTACCTGGTGACGTATTGCGACGCGACAGCATATTGGCTACACGGTTTCCCATCTCGTCTAACTCGCGGTACGTCCAGCGCCTAATGCGGGAAGGGTTTCCTAACTCCCAAACGAACTCGAGAGCAGTAGATGCTGGTATACGTCGCGCTGAGTTTTCGACAAGCTGATGTAAAAGATCCGCAGGAGGAGGAATCTGCTGGCAGGCTGCCGGAATAATGGAGAGAAGGCCAGGTGAGAAGGAGGGGAGTGCTGTGAAATGACCTTGGGGTGATGTGAGGAGGTCTGCTAGCACGGCGTCAAATTGTCTTGGAAGAAGACGCGCTTGTTCGGCTGGTAGGATATCGGTTTGATATGTCAGATTTACCCGGAGTTCTTCTGAAGCCGTTTCAATAACTTCGAGCGCGACCGCATATTCGACCGATGCGGACTCCTCCAGTATTTCCCATGGCGGCTCGACTTCTACGGCATCCATAGTCTGATACGCTATTATGGTATCGAATAATTGACGACCGGGTCGACCAAGCCATCGCTGCACTTTAGAAAGGGGCGTGCGCTCATATCGACGTAAACTTGTATTGTACCGCATCATGTCTCTGAGAAGCTCGGCATTGGAATTGGAATTGCGCGCTATAATAGGTAGAGTTGTCACCATGGGGAAGACTACCTCTCGTTCTTCCTGCGTTGTACGTCCGTCAAGAACGATCCCAAACGTAACGGAGGTCTCCCCGAGGTAGGAAGAAAGAACTCGGGCCCAAGCTGCCTGTAGCGCGGCTCTAACTGTCACGTCAGCTTGCGAAGAACCGCGACGAAGTTTTTTGGGGGACATATTGCACGTCATTGATAACGTTGACGTAGTGGGATCGGAGACATAGAGTGGTGTCATCATTGGAAATTTGCTAACAACGAGATCTTCTGCTTTCGCTTGCCAGAAGGCTTCCGATGTAGATTGAGAATTCGCAGGGTCGAGACAGGCAGACACAGCTAACTGAACCGGGGGAGATTGTCCTCGAGAATTGCCCGATAGAGATTCAATTAATCGCCGTATTAAATAACGCAGCGAGTTGGCATCGTACAATGCGTGGTGCATGGCAAGGTGCATAGTTGAATGAGCGGGTCGGTGGTCAACGATGACAACTTGCCAGGGCGGTACCGAGAGGTTTTCCAGAGCCTTCAAGGCTGCAGTCGTGCGCCACTCCAAGTCGTCGAAGGTGCTAGATTTTTGAACTGACACCGGGACAGAGAACCCAGCGACGGGATAAACTACCATTGCATAGGAGGCGTCCTTGTGGTCGACCGGCACGAATCCAGTCCGCAATATCTGACAGTCGGCTGCGAGCTGCACCCATGCTTCAGCAATTTTCCGAGAATCGACTCCAGCTCCTAATACCCAGGCTGTATAATTGAAATAATGCGTGCCGTTAGAGTTAAGGAATTGCGATATCATGCCCTGTTGTGTCGGGGTACATGGCAATAATTCTTCATAATCATTAGTTAATCTGGTGCTCCTATCTAGATACCTACCGACGGTATCTTGAAAATTGCGGAAATCATAAACGAAACGCGGTGTTTTGTTATCGGGAGCGGTTAAATGAGAGGCAATTCCCGCGCATGTCGGATTCTCAATCACATCTAGTGCAGATATGGTGTACGACGACTCCTGACGAAGAAGAGTAGCCAGCTGAACCGCACCAATACTGTCTATACCGTAGCGATATATTGGGGTATGCCGATCAATTTTTCCCTCTGGGATATTTGCTAGCTTCGATAAAACGGCACGAACCATCGATTCAATTTCGTTCCAAGTCTCGTTTGTGTCGGGCTGTCCTGGCGTCGTACCATGAGTCTTTACTACATCTCGCGACCCAGCCAAACTGGACATCTGACGTTGCCACTCGATTGGTAAATCAGAAGCTGTGACAATATGAGAAGATGGACGCGTTAGACAAGTATCAAGAATATTTCGGAAGAGATCTAGGATAAACGATGAAATCTGGCGCGAGAAGATCGTCCTGTTCGCGGATTAGCAACACATCGGAAGTGTACGTGGTCTACATTCGATTAAGACTCACGGATTTGCATGTAATTGCACGGTAAGAATATTTCGTTCCCGGCAAGGGGTGATCTCGCATACCAGAGGCACCTATCGTCGACTTAGCTTTGCGATCCAAGGAGCATCTGGATCGTCACTTACATCCATGGCGCCATTTTCTTGCTCCAATGACCATATTGTTTCGTCTAAAGCATAATTCTGCGGTTGAAGAATAAGAACAGTGTCAAAAAGAGACGGTAATTGAAGATGTGATTGTATCCGTCGTAAGCTGGTGAATTGATATGGTATCATTTGGACGTTGAGCCGTTGAAATTTATTCATAACCTGATGAGGGAATTTGAAGCGAGAAAGATCTATCCTAACAGGAATAGTATTGAAGCACGGCGCTACAAGGGTATCGATCTGATCTAAGGCGATGGAACGACCGCTCACGACGTTCCCAAAACAGACATCTCTATTACCTTGTAATAGAGAAAGCGTAATAGCCCAGGCCGCTTGGCATAATGATAAAAGCGACGCGCCTAACTCCTGCGTACGAGCCGTAACGGAGGAATATGGGCGACTTAACGCATCTCCTGTTATGACGTGCGAACCGGGATGGTTAACCGACGTCAACCTATTGAAATGGAACGGAGAAAATGAACGCAAATGCTCTTCCCAAAATCCATCAGCTTCTGGATGAAGAGGAAGAGCTTCTTCAAGGAATAATTCAAAAGGCAGAGCATCTAGCAACTGCTCATGCCGCGATACAGCCTCGATTTCTGAGAGAAGTTGCATCATCGAGACACCATCATAGATGGCATGATGGCAGACAAAGGACAAATATTCGGTGGAATCTTCAAGGCTGATAAATAAGAGCGAAACTGGAGGGTCGCCAGAATCAAGCGCACTCGGAAGGGAGCTTCCGTGCTTGAATGCCAGACCATGGAAATCAGTCCTATCTACCTTGATAAGTCTCCACGTAGGTAAGTAAGACTTCAAAACCACTTGCATCATTGGGTGCCGAACATCCGCGGTCGTCACGAAGCATGTCCGTAGGATCCCGTGGCGTTTGAACATAGCATCCCAGTGCCTCTTCATAACCTGTGATGGGAGGCGAAGTCGAAAAAGCATCTGATTGGAATACGAATGTTTATTCGAGGATGACATGGAAGACGAAAGCATTGCTTCTTGTAAGGGGGTACACGGAAGAATATTCTCTACGCGATCTTCTCCCCAATCGTCAAAGCGTCTTCGCACGGCTTCTACCAGCGATTCCGGCAAACCAAGTCCTCTTCTATCGGACCGGGCTGTTATTTGGTACGTATCCTTAGCGATCGCTGAAGCAAGCCGCCCAACGCTGGGATTCGATAAAATGAGTGATAAGGGAACCCGTTTACCCAGAACTGTTTGGAGCTTCCGCGATAAAGGCATGGCCGAGATAGAATCTATTCCAAGGGCCGCGAAGGAACCCCATCGGTTGATTACCTTCCTGTCGACACGGATCACCTCTGAGATGGCTCCCGCTATCAAAACCTCAAGTTCTGTCCATTCAAGGGATCCTTCGACAGAATTTTGCACGTAGCTGCACGAGTCTAATATTTCGTCCGAAATATCACTAGCTGAGGATCGCAGCGAGTCATGATCGACCTTTCCAGACGATGTAAATGGCAGAGCAGAGATGGGGATAACGAAAGATGGCACCATGTAATCCGGCAAAGCTGCCCGTAGTATCTGTTGTATCGTGATGGTCGTCTTTCTTATCGAATCTATAATAGGCAATATAGTAAAATCTGGACGTTCATAACCAATAGGAACGTAGAACAGTCCTAGCTGCTCTGTGGAATTACCTCCGAACGTAGCAAGCACACTTGTGCAGGCCTTTGCAAGTCCACTCCTAAGAACAATCGCTTGGATTTCTTGCAATTCGATCCTGAGTCCCCGGAGTTTCACTTGAGTGTCAATTCTCCCAAGGATAATTAGAGAGCCATCAGGAAGCATGCGGCCAAGGTCTCCGGATCGGTATAAGCGACCATATTTAGGGTGGTCGAGAAACTTGGCTGCTGTTAGGTCCGGCATGTTAAGGTAGCCTGCTGCTACCTGGTCGCCACCAAAACACAATTCGCCTACGCAACCCAAGGGCATCAAGTCCACACTGTCCTGAGATAAGACGAAGGCCGAAGTATTTTCGAGGGGCCATCCTAAGTACGCAGGCGAATCACCTCGAGTTATCTTTCTTACAGTGCATATATTAGTAGTCTCCGAAGGACCGTAACCTTAATTGTGTCAACAGAAGACTGACAATACAGGTAGGTGCTCACATACCTTGCCATAGCTGCCGTGCCCAGGTGTCCAGCACGGCATCGGTCATAGGTTCACCTGACGTAACTAGCATTTTAACATTAGGTAGCCGGCTAGGTTCTATGAGCGAAGCAACAGTGACCGTCATGCTGAGGTGGGTTACTTGAAGTGCCCGTACGGAATTCTCAATATCTTCAAACAAGGTATCGTTAGTAGCTGAACATAAGCACATGCCGTTTCCCCACGAGAAGAAGATCTCGAATACGGATACGTCGAACGCTTGAGAACAAGCTTGTAGCATTCGGTCCGAAGGCTCGTGAGGATAAATGCGAGATAATGCTTCAATGTTACTAAAAACATTCGCGTTGGTAACCGAGACACCCTTTGGGGTTCCAGTAGTTCCACTGGTATAAATAACGTAGGCAAGATCGTTTGGCTCTCTAGAGACTTCAAAGTTGGAATCGTGATATTCTGAAAGAACCTTATGCGATAGATTAGTTACGGAAAAGTCAACTGCCTCTAAAACCTGCGATGGGAAAAACTCATCCACCAAGCAATGTTGAGGCTGAGCCTGTTTAAAAATCAGTTGCATCCTCTGTGGAGGAGTGTTGGGAAGGATGGGGAGATATGCGCATCCTGACTTAAGTATCCCGAGAATCGCGCAGTAAAGTAAAATCGATTTCTCCATAACTAACGCGATGATCTGTCCCGGCACCAAACCGGAATGTCGCAGATAGTTAGCTATTTGATTAGATTTCGAATTCAGTTCCCGATAGGTTAATGTCCGAGTTTGGATACCGGAAGGGCCAGTTGAAGACGCGAAGCATAATGCATCGTTAGTTGGATATTTGAGTGCCATCTCCTCTACGAGATTAGACAAGCTTGAGGGCACTTGCAGGGTTTTCGGAGTCTCGTTATAATGGGATAGGTTATCGGCCGGAAAGCAGCGTAGAACCTTGCTGAGTGGCAGGTTGCCATTCTCAACAAAACAACGGACTAGGGAGTCAAGGTGCAAGAATAAGAGGTCGATTTGAGTATGCGAAAAGGCATCCGAATGCCACGTTAACTGACACGAAAAAGCATCGTCAGAGGGAGTTATCTCCACGAGAAGCTTTGCTTCTACCATGTCCTTGTGCCAAGCTTCACAAATGATGCTATCGCTCCGCCTACGGCTGGCAATAGTTTCCTGGTAAGCGAATATAACATCAAAAAGCTTTTGGTGAGGGGAGATTCCGGCGGCTCGCTTTATCTCCGAAAGAGGAAGAGTGCTGTATTTGAGTGTTTCCCGATTGAACAGATGAATGCCTTGCAGAAGCTCAATAACAGTAGCGTATTCGCCCGGGATCGTTCTGAGTGGAAGGGTTACCATGCAAGGTCCCATTATCTTCTCAATGTCGGCAATAGGGAGAGTCCGACCGGATGACACAGACCCTATTATCGTCTCGCCGACCCCGTTGATTAGCCCCCAAAGCCAGGTTAAACAGCCTTGGAATATAACTTGAGGCCCGACAGAGGCACCGAGCGCAAAATCTCTGACTAAGGCCGGATCGACTTTAATTTCCTTGCCCGTCGTCATAATTTGCGACTTTAGCACAGCCGAAGTCCTGAAATTGGGTAAAGACGCCGGAATGCAGCCGCGCAGCTTTTCCGCCCAAAATTCTTTCATGTCAATCTCATTTTTCGGAGGGGCAGCTAGGTGCCGGCACACTTGACCGAACTGAGGTCTATCAGCTGGTGGTGATCCTTGTGCTAAAAGCGAGAGGTCTTCAATTAGCAGATCCATCGTCCACCCATCATATATCGAATGGTGAAGGGTTATCAGAATTGTGTGATGCTTCGCCGGCGGGCGGCTTGGAATGATGTCGATTTTGAGCGGGCGACGAAGAAACTGTTCAACGTCGACGCATTCAAAAGAACGTGCACGGTCGATAACTTCAATTTGATTATCTTCGAGGTGATTCCAGATTATTTGGCAAAGTCTATCGCCGATATATGCGAACCCGGTGCGTAGATTCTCATTACGTCGAGCCAACATGCTAAGCCATGACTTTATCAACTCGACCGCGAGATTGCTAGGAAACATCAGTTCCGTTTGATTAATATACAACCTCGAGTCCTTTAAAGTTTCCGCGACCATCGCCTCCTGGAGAGGAGCGCACGCCTCTATGTGCTCGACGTCGGCGGGTTGTAGTTGCGTCGCTATTTCGGATGACAATTGATCCATCAAACTATCGGAATGACAACCGTTAAGGGAGGAGTTGATCGTCGAGGTCGAGAAATTCGTTTCACTATGCCGCAATTTGATTATGCTAATAAGTTCCCGCACACTTGTCGCCTCGAGGATATCGATGGGGCTGGCGGTAATTCCAGAGGCCCGGATTCTCGATGTATATTCGATGGCTGCTAAGGAGTCCATCCCTAACGAGGATAAATAGGCCGATGGAGTGACGCGCTGTCCGAGAATCGCCTCAGCGATCTCACAGAGTTGACATTCCAATTCATCTTCGAACGATTCCTCTACGTTGGAATTATGAGAAGTCAAGGTTTCGTATTGTTCAATTAGTGTTTTCTTGTCAACCTTCCCCGAAGGCAAACGAGGAAAATCTTCCACGATATTTAAATCAGCAGGAATCATAAAGGTTGGCAGCCAGGATCTGCATCGGGAAAGAATTGCCGCTCGCATCCCTGCCGATTCCGCGGCGCCCTCAACAGCCGCAAAAGCCACCAACACGTTTGAGATTACAACAGCCAGGGCACCATGGCATCCCGGTGTGCGCAAGAGGGCATGCTCAACCTCTCCGAGCTCTATTCTTTGGCCGTTCAACTTAACCTGACCGCCGCCGATCCTACCAAGGCACTCGATCGTACCGTCAGGTAAAATCCTAGCTTTATCTCCAGTCCTGTACACTCGACCCCAACTGGTTTCGAGGAACGCGGCCGAAGTCTGCTCAGGCCTATTGACATATCCAACAGCTACTTGACTGCCGCCGATAGCAAGCTCTCCGATTTGACCAACAGGGAGCACCCGGAATTCTAGAGCATCGCTATCTATCACAAATGCTGATACGGTATCGAGAGGAACTCCAATATTATTCTTGCTAGACTGTTTTTGAAATGAGGGTTGGACCGTGCTGCAACCTTACGTGAGCGATTATGAACCGTGTTGTACCCCTAAGCTAGGATAGCCGAGAAAGACTTACCAATGAATAGCTGTTTCTGTCGGGCCGTACATGCCCCAAAGCATGCTATCTTCATCATCATCGCCACCAAATTCCCGAACGACTGGTTCGGTAAGCATCTCACCAATTGTCAGCAAGAGACGCAACGCAGGAGCATTGCTTCTTTTCTTGAGTAGGCTGCCTGCAACGGATGGCGTTAACTCGCACGCGTCTACACGGGAACCTCTTAGAACACCGGGAAGATCCGACAGCAAGTCCGCGCGACAACTGCATACGAGAGTACTACCGCGGAACAAGGGGAAAAATATTTCGAACACGGACACGTCAAACGTGGGCGCCGCGAATTGGAGGAAGCGAGTGAACCGTGGAATATGACGATCATGCGCAAGCAAGCTCTGTGTCACAGCGCGGTGAGATATCCCCACTCCTTTGGGCGTCCCAGTAGAGCCGGAAGTATACATGACGTACGCCAGGTCATCAGGCTCAGGTACTCTGTAGGTAGCCGACCGGTATCCGTTCCGTATCAGGGAGTCAAGCGATTGGTCGACGGGTAGGATATTATAAGAATCATCATGTGGAATTTGCGTTACAAGATTAGAATCAACCAGAACGAGCCTAGCCTTAACATCGCCCAATATGAATTTGAGGCGATCAACCGGAATGTCGGCGTTCAGAGGACAGAAGGCGGCACCAACTTTTAAAATAGCGAGGAGACTGATGTATAGCGCCGGCGACTGCGGGATAAGAATAGGTATAACAAGTTGCTCTCGAGAGTCAACTGACCCCGGAAGTTGCAAAGTTTCGAGTATACGCGCAGCTACCGCGGCCGCCGTAGAGTGGAGTTCGTGGTAGCTGATGCTAACGCTTTCGCCGGTGCTTCGATGATGATCTATAGCTGGTAAGCCATCGTCGCTCACCTTCGACACTAAGTCGTGAAGGAGCTTCGGCCCTTCAAGGGTCGCCGGCGATGGATTGAGGATAGAGAGCCCTCCAGATTCCGTCGCTAGCTCCATCGCGAGTCGCGTATGATGTTCTTCACCTGGGGAAGCGTACTTTGCGAGATGATAATGATAATAAACCACGTTACTCTTATCGTCACTTCTGAGCAGGTAGTCACTGTGATAGCGAAGGAGTATAGGGAGCGACTGGTGTTTGTAATTATAGCTAAGATAGGCTTCGCGAAATTGGCGAAGGAGTTGCTAAGATAGAACTTGAGCACGCTTTGCCTTGCGAATAGTTTGCCTTGTAAATAGTTAGCCTTGCCACGTCATAAGAGTAACCACAACTGCAACCGCAACCGCATCTCTTTCTAACTTCGCAACTTGAGGCGAGCTTCTTCCTGAGTGCTCAAAACAGATACACCTCAACGCGTTAAAAGTTGAAGTAACACTTAAGCTAGCAGGTGAGAGATAGCAGAATGGCGAGCATGCGTGGCTTTGTGGCTTGACGCAGGAACAACATTGAACCAAAGCAATATGCAAAAATGTGCCTTAGGTACCCGTTCGGTTGGGCTGCTGCCCAGCACCTAACCCAACAGTACGTAGATTCCTTATTGTGAGGTACTTAACCTAATATTACCCAGGTAAGAGAGAGGGAGGGGGGAAAAAACCGATTAAATTTCAGCGCCGGCTCGTCACATTCGGAAATATGCATGTCGAATGAACGGAGTTGCGGCCAGGGAGTTTTCTTTATGAGGCTTTTTCTCCCTGTTAACTGGTAACGATTCCATTACGTTTACATTCTAGATATAGTTTAGGTCAGTGACTAAGAGCAGCAGCTGGCAGCTGCCCTCGTCCTAGTACCTTGTCAATGGTCCCGAGTAGGTATATGCGAGTACGAGGAATAGCGTATTGTGTTTGAGATATATTGGAGATACTTACGCGTTAGGTATATTAAAGAACTTGAACAGAATTAGAGAGCGCTCTACTGTTGACATTCAGAGATTTTCAGCACTGTGCTGGCGCTGGATTAGGTAGGTTGCATATTGAATTGTTCTTTTTTATACTGTAGCATACAGAGCTGGGTTGGTTGTTTCATGCATTTCTGGGAGGGTTTAAGGCGTTCATTCAGAAAACACAAGCAACCGATTAAAACAAGCTTTATACAACGCTGAATGAATCATTCGATTACAACTGATGAAATACTCTAGAGAAAAGCTTTTGTAACGTTCAAAGTTACGTAAAAGATTACTGGCAAATGTACCGCTTGTACAATTACCATAATACGTCGGTCGAGCGGGGACGAATTAAATTATTTAGCTACGCGGAGATACCACCAGGACGCTGGCGCTTGGGAACTGAATTAGCGGTTACATACCTGTATTTTGGCAACAGAAGAGCGACACCACATAGTACGTGAAGTCTTATATATTATCCCCAATTTATAAAGAAGTTTACTACTACACCTTTCGTAGATTTTCTGATATTAATCGGAAAAGCAAACTGCACACGCATTTTAGGAACTTGCATGACTACAAAAATGCCAATCGGCTTAAACTTCCTCGGATCACGAAACCTGCTAAATACCTACATAGTAGCTCCGGTATTCGTCCAGGACCCTAGCAAAATGTCAAGACGCCAATTTCCAGGATAAGATCTCTACATGATCTTATCAGATCATCAGATAATTATGACTTATGGGTCTATCGAATACAATTCGGGAACAGGAACCAAAGAATCGATCTACGCTATCCACCATCTGCGTGTTATTCGACCTTCCTCCCCACTTCATGCTGCAGGAAATGAAAATTTTCTCTTCAAATTGGTTCAAGGTAAGTAGGAGGTAAGTACCTAACTAAGATACCTTATTAACCCGGTCTTCATGTTTGTGGGTTCGCGTATGCAAATCTATCGGTTTACTTCTCCTCTCCAGGCATAGATAGTCAGTGGTGTTATTTAGTACCAAGAAGACCATCTAGGTGATTTGGCAGTAGCAATGGATGGCATGACGTTGTTCCTGAAGGGTCACGGCCATCGACTAGCCAACTCACCCCTAGTACCGATGCCGTTTTTGGTGATTTGTCCGTACTATCATGTTCCCAGTATTTAAAGCTAAACAAGGTACCTCTTATCACCTGCAATAAAATTACTGACTTGCCAGACTAGCAATATTACTATAACAACAGAGTTCCCCGTGATGTATCCATGGGACTGTTTCAATGGAGCTTCCAGCTTAGGTCAATACATCATGGTGTATCAAGCTTAGATAGCGTGCTATAAGCGAAGCACCTCTGAGCTAACCATGTGGGTGTTAAAGCTCCGAAATCTGATTATATTTATGTAAAAATGTTATGAGGTATAATTAAGAATAGCCGGAGTGCGGTTTCAGTTGTTGACTTCGACTGGTCACAGCAGCAAGTGTAACAAAGAGATATAACTCTGCTTGCCTGTAATGAATTCCACTTCATAGCATCTACGCACACGAGCATGAAGAAGGCCGGCGTACTTAGAAGGATGGTAATCTATTCAAACTTTGGTACAGTTCCGAAGGGCAAAAAACCCGGGTCAAAATAGCAGAGAACAGCTCAGGCCGTCATCGGGGAATGCCGGCGCTACCTGGTCACCATGCGCAGACATCTTATCTGATCCGAAGATAACGCCGATGTCGCCAGGCTAATTAATACCCTTGCTTTTCTTCTCTTGGCTACGTTTGCACCGTCATCCTTCATCCAGTACCAAACTTCAAGACCGAGGCTACCCCATACGTACCATTAGATGTGTCACAAGTTGAACATTTCGCAAAGGCTGAGCTTGTCTAGGAAACTGTCATAGAGAGAGATGTAGCGAATGTATCGATGCCATTCCGAACTAGTCTCGATTCGCCCGCTGTCCAACATGGATTTCCAAACTGAGACAAGGAATAAATTGCCCTATTTACGCCCGGCAGACCGAACGGTTTAATCATCTCCAGCGCCTAGCCTTCCACTTAACATACGCAACCCATCAACACGCAATCCGGAGTCACATCGTTACAGCAGGTACCTTTCGTATCCCCTCTCGTGGGTCCTTAGAACAGGTGTCGATCTCCTTTACTCCCGCCATCTGAAGGTACTTGGTACTCAAAAGTACCTACCCGCTCCGTACTAGCTCGAGTATGTAGTTTTACACAGCTGCGACTGTAGGGAGGCTTATACCTTTTGTTCTCGGTTCTGGAACATGCCTACCTTTTCCTACTACCTGTTCACTACCTTATATGCATAGCGCGCCAGGTCATTCGATTTACAGCATGCCGAATCCTTGGACTTGGAACCTTGCCGTGATCTGGACAAGGATTTCCAAGACACGGCCCGCTCTATATATATTCTAATGGCTGCACCAGAATTCGGGCAACCCAATTACGACAATTTCACGAAAATCCTCACATTACACGCCTCGCCGTTCCTGTAGAGTGTTACTTTTTTATCATTGCTTGCCATTTTAGCACTCGTCCGGCTTTACTGCTCCGTCATCTTTGCCCAAGACTAGAGTCTTGCTCTTCTGATTTACAAGATCTCGGACGTAAGGTCACGTCATCGAATAACCGGTAGTACAAGAGCTTTTCCCCGTCGCATAATTATTTAGAGCCCTACGGATCTCAGCCCGCGGTTCTACTCCAATAAATAACCATTATGGCACCTCACAGTCTGCTGGATGGTCATGATGATGGCCCAACCAGCAACGGTTCGCCGGAGAGCGGCCTCCGCGACCAACCGGGCCGACAACCAGCCAACGGCTTTACGGATAATAAGTCGCACCTAAAGAAAGCGTCGGTAGAAGATGTACACGACCTTGTCTGCGTCGGATTTGGACCAGCCAGCCTGTCAGTGGCAGTCGCCCTTCACGATGCTATCAACAGTGGCAAACTTCATAGCACAAACACCGGCTCGACCCCAAAAGTTCTTTTCCTAGAGAAACAGCCAAAATTCGCGTGGCACGCCGGAATGCTCCTCCCTGGCGCAAAAATGCAAATATCTTTCATCAAAGACATGGCGAGTTTGAGGGATCCCACCTCCCACTTCACCTTCTTGAATTATCTTCATCAGAACGGCCGTCTAGTCGAGTTCACAAATTTGAACACGTTTTTACCGTCGAGAGTGGAATATGAAGACTACCTCCGTTGGTGCGCGAGCTTCTTCGAAGACGTCGTCCGCTATAACAGCGAAGTGGTTTCCGTCTCGCCCGCCAAGGGATCCGACTCTAACGGATCGATTTCTACTTTTACCATCACGTCAAGAGATCCAAAGAGCGGTGAATTGTTTACTTACCAAGCTAAGAACGTCCTTCTAGCTATCGGCGGACAACCGTCGATACCGAAGTGCTTACCTTCAAATCACCCTCGAGTCATCCACTCATCCCAATATGCGCACCTCGTACCGCAGATCCTAAATAATCAATCATCGCCCTATCGCGTAGCCGTCATCGGAGCTGGACAGAGCGCCGCCGAAATTTTCAACAACATCCAAGTTCTCTACCCGAATTCTCGGACATCCTTGATCATGCGTTCCGAGTTCCTTAAACCTAGCGATGATTCACCATTGTAAGTTCATCTAAATCATCCGAAAACATTACCAAGATGGTTTTTTTTTTCCATTCCGGAAGCTAACCAGCATAAGCGTAAATTCAATTTTCAATCCCTCATTTGTGAATTCCCTTTTCCAAAGGTCTGCCGAGGATAGATATTCGCTATTGGAGGGAGCTCGGAGCACCAACTACGGAGTAGTGCGCCTGGAGCTTATCGAACGCCTCTACGAAAAAATGTACGATCAAAGACGTGAACTTGGGAGCGACGAAACAAAATGGCCGCATCGAATCATGGGCGCAACAGACGTAGTCGGCTTGGATAGCAAGGGTGATCAGCTGAAGCTTACGGTTCGCCCTTTGACCTCGACGAAGACCGCTGCCCGTGACAGCACGCAGGAAGACGAAGTATTAGACGTGGATCTCGTCATCGCAGCAACGGGATACCAACGGCAGTCTCACCTGAGGATGATGGAAGACGTAGCCCATCTACTACCTGAAGCTTCCGAGTCGAACGGGGCTATTCCAAGCAATGGATTCGGACGAAAGTTTTCAGAAGCCAAGATCAACGACCGGCCGGTAAGAGTATCTCGCGACTACAGCGTGCAGTTTGCCCCCGGGAAAGTAGCGCCAGGGTCTGGCATCTGGCTTCAAGGGTGCTGCGAGGGAACACACGGGGTGAGTCTATCCGCCCCACGAATAGTACTTGCGTGAGACTAACTTTAACTTTTAGCTGAGCGATACGTTGCTTTCCGTCTTGGCTACCCGATCTGGGGAGATTGTTAGCTCTATTTTTGGCGAGGGCATTCAAAATGGAGTCAAATAGGTAATTAAATGTCTAGGTATCGGTGGTGACATTTTTCTTGGAAGAAACCAATTGTTTTTCTACGCGAGTACAGAGGGAAGGAGGCGAGAAGTCATAAAAGGTGTAGAGATATGTATTTAGCCTTGCGCATATTATGCAAGAGCGGAAAAAGTTTCAGGGAGATATACCCATGAGGGTTGCGAATGTTGACCAAATCCTTAGAACATATATAAGACGTACTCGGAAGCATGAATAAATAACTCTTAAATTCATTTCATAATACAGACAGACGTTCCACCTTGCTATTCAAAGCTAATTCGTGCTCTATGTCAGGAGTCTCAAGTGAGGCTCCTTAAGAGCAAAGACCATGTTGGCATGTAGCTTTGGCTTCAAAGCTATCCTAGTAAGATTTCCGGGCGGAACAGCCAAGTTATTTTCTCAGGTACCTAACGCTCTGCGACGTGGCACCGTAGAAATCATTTTATGTGTGAATGTGAACCCTAATGTTACGGATTATGTAGCCAGAAGTCCGTCCTCGAAGTATCGGATTTAGAATAGTCACACAGACCACCGTGCTGAAGAGCGAAGGCTAATTCAACTTCATTCCCAGAGGGTGGACCAAAATGGCGTTGTGGCGATGGAAGGTGCAAGCGGGGCTTACGATAAGATCCAGATTTACGCGCTTCCGCCTAGGACTTCGGTTCAATATGAAAGCAAACGGGTATACTGCTGCTGCGCAGGGCCGCCAAGGACGATTAAAAAACAACGCGCACACGCAAGAGCAGTGCAGTGGTTTTCCGAGTAAGATTAGACCATCATTATTTAGAAATACATTATGCACTTATATATTGCTTTCATAGCGGCAGAACCATAAATAGACCAACACTAGATGGGCAGCATGTGGGGTTGCCATGCATTGTACATACCACAAACTCAACTACAAACGAGTTCGTCAATGTAACCAACAGGGTTTCAGCTTCCAGCTCACAATGCGTAAGCGTATGAATAGGAGGCGCAGCAAAACAGGCGGCGCAGCAACGTAGATCGTCGCGAATGGTTTATTATAAAAATTGTGGCATGTCTTCAAAGAGCACATCTCAGCATTCGAGCGCTTACTCTCCAATCCAACGGCCTCTGATCTACACTTACTCAACAGGAGCATTGCCTTAATTACATTCTCGACCATGAATCCGTATGAAACGCTTCAAGGTGAATACGTCTCGATTTGCCCCTGGAAGACCTTCAGCTAAATTGATCCTAGCGTCGGATAATGCTGGATTCCGTGGAGAGATACCGCATACTGTGGAAGAAGAATGGGCACTGGACGACGAGCAAGAGAGACTACGCACGCGGCATGACAGCGCTAGCCAGCAGCCCTACCAGCTCGTTGGGACATCTATGATAGAGAACATTACAACATATCTGCCAGCCGTACCGGTACCTCTTCCGTATCCTGTCATTATCCCTCAACGACGACCCGGACAGCGGGTCCGTGGGTTCGTCAGGGCCTATGCCCCTGATCTGATGCGCTGTGGTATCGATCAGTCCACTTTTATGGCATTCCTCGACGAACTCGACAGGGCCACGGCCGCCTCTCCGTGGATAAGCGCCGTTAATCTCGGCTCTGGTATGGCGGGTCTTATCCCGTCCGCTATAGCCCCGCCCATCGGGCTGGCGGTTCAGATAACGGCCAAAGTCTACCAAGAGATGCAGAGTCGCAAAAAGTAAGAAGCACCTTTTTTAAATTCCGACGTAGCGGATATACTTACTTACTACCCCTTCAAAAACAGCCAAAACTCTTTTCTCCTAAAGATGAATGACGAATTCTTCCGACCGCGCGGGCTGTACTGTTTTATTATGGCATATAATCCGAATTCTAGCAGCACACTTTTACAGCAGGATCTCAACGCCGAAGTTAGTAGTCGTGCCACTGCTAGTAAATACCGAGGGAATGATGGCACGACTGGTCCAGTCGAGTTCCCCGCGTCTGCAGAGTTGATTTTCCCCTACTTGGAGGATACATCTAGTGACGAGGATAGGGGTGAAAATAATGCTAAAAGCGGATTTTCAAAAGCATTCGATGCATTCAAAGAGCATCGGGATCTGAAGGCTCAGAGGAAATATGTAAAGTTCTAGCTTCCACTCATGTTGTCAAATGCTGAGATAGTTACCTTTTATTAGCAAAGAAAGAACCCATCCAGCATTCTGAATCCTCTCCTAGACCCCAAGGTTGAGCTCAGGCCAAAGGACCACAGGAAGCAGGAGAAAAGACTTGAGAAGGATGAGAGGAAACGCGAGAAATTCGAGCGAAAGCAAGAAAAAAGAGCACGTAAGCATCCTGAGAAGGGACTGAAAGAACCGCGCAAGAAATTGCTAAGAAAGGTACCTATTTATTCTCCCCCCCCCCATTCGATGAAAACTGTCCGTCTTACTGGCTAACCATTGTAGGATATCTTATATATGATGATAATTAATATGCCATCAGTGCACGAAATGGAAGAAGCGGTTAGAGTAGTTGGGAAATCATGAATAAAACTGTAGGGTGTTTGGGTAACATGGAAGGGAAATAAAATTACAGGAGCAGGAACAACTAAGAGGAGCTTGCTACTTATGCCTCGTTCTGTATTTAATGACTTGTCTTCCGCCCTGGAAGATTTGCTAGTCAGGTATTGATACCGGACGCTCATACGGTTCATGCTTATGCAACATCTGCAAATTTATATAGGGGTTCAAATCCGCCAGGATAATCTGCAGCCAGCTTAGCGTACCATACTTTTGGACTCCAAGTACCTACCACGTACATGCCGGCGTACTCGAAGAATTTGGGATAAAACCCCGCGCAATCTCAATCAATGAGCCACAGTCGCGCCTTGGGGTCGAGTATGATATTGCGAGGCGCTAGATCATGATGCGTAAAGACGAGCATATCCTTTGGCCAAGTACTTGTGAAAATTCAGGTAAGCTTGGAAGAGAATTAATATGATTAATAAGTTCTGCATCGGTGTAATCGAAAAGCTTTGTATCGTCGAAATATTGATCCATTTTGAGGGTATTATGGGAAGAAAATGAGAATGCAGGATTTTTTGAACGAGTAGGGTCTTCGCATTTTGTTTCGATCATTTCAGCTTTTCCTAAAAGAAAAGAGGCTTCTTGACGATCCACAGTTTCAAGCTTCTCCTCTGGCACAGGTACAGCTGATCTTGCTTAAGCAGGAGGATCCTAGCCCCAAGCATATCAAAACGTCGGCAAAGAAAAGTAGGGGTCATGTGTTGAAACGAATGCCACGAAACGAGTGTATTGCATGAAATCCTCAACAGTTAGCGTTCCATTGACGACGGCGGATCTAGAACGCTCTCAAATGGGAAGACGAAAGGGCAGCCATCTCTCTTGATAGCCTACAAGGTAATTTTACGTGGTGTTAAGAAGCATGTGCAGTTGGAGCTCCAATGCACGAGTGCCTCCGCGATTGAAGCATTCACGCTTACAAGTCGCTGTTAGTTGTAATGCAGACTGCACTGTCACCTTAACAGTACGTGACATAGCTTATCTCTACCGGTGTGGTATTTACACATGGGCTAGTAATAGAGACGACGGCTTTGTCTTTTCCGACGAGGAAGACCGTCTATACGTCGCCTAGTTGAGAAGTCGTCAGGTACGGTGGTATCGGAAAGGGCGTGTAAACCTAAGTACCTTCCTGCGTATTATGCCCAAACCTAACCATTTCGAAGACCTGGCTCGGTGGCGACGAAAGGTGCGGGGAATATATGTTGATTGGTCTTACTCATGAATATTGCTGCCCTACTGCAGCCTCATTCTATTGTCTTCCAAGCCCTCAATGAACATACCCACGGAAGAACAACACTTTACCGCCAGGTCCTGGCCATGTCATACAGGCTGCGAAATCGTATCCAAGGCTTTTTCCACTTGTTAGAGCGTTGTTGAAACAAAACCTATAGCTCCACGGATTAATCATCCCTTCGTCGAATCAAATAGAGGTTCTGGTCGGCGACATGGATTACCGACTATATTCCCAGTCGAGTATATGTCCGATGGCGCCCCAGGCACACTGAATTAATTTGGCATGTCATGCCTCTCTATAATCGATTCTTCCTCCCTTTGAACCCTAGAAATTCCACATTGTTTCGCACGCTCCGCACAAGAAATAGCAAATGTCGCGCTCGGTCGACTCTGTTAGAAGAAGCCCAGAAGTGGCCTGGAATTTCCTCAAATCGATCTTCACGTACTCTACATCCGATCCCATCACTGCCCTCCTAGGCGGCTCCCACGATGGCGGAGGGTCAGACCTCGATATAAGAACTAGAGCATGGCGAGATGCCAAAGTCCAAGAGCTTGGATATGTCGGAATAACGGTTATTATAGCCCTGAGGATATCACTCATTGTGCCTCAAATCCCCACCCTTTGGCTGTCACTGATCATTCAAAAAAACAGGCAGCCATCCTAGCTAGTCTATTCGCAAGCGCCATCGCCTGGCCACACGTCCCTGAGGATGCATACGATACAAAAGGGTGTTGGTATGTAGGGTTGATCCTCATTGTCAGCAGCATTGCTAGCGCAACGCAGCAAGCAATAACACTGCATCGATTCAATACTCTGCCAAATAGCCTCAGTGTATTGAGGAAACTCCTCAGATCACCGAATGATGAGAAAAGAGCCTCGATATTAGCCGTCTATGTTTGGCAGCTGCCCGTTATGTTTCTCCGGCTCGGGATTTTTCTTTTTATCATCGGGATGTTCTTTCTCCTCTGGAACGCTGCTCGGGTAGGCCAGGATCTAAGCCTACCGAACCTCCAGGTAAGATCGAATTCTACATCCAATCATTTGTTGGGTACTAATAACATTCTGCTAGATTGCGGTATCCTTCACGGTTATCTTCGCGTTCGCGGCACTGAATCATTCTTTATCTGTTCTTCATTGCTATATGCTTTGGCGACTACAAGAGAGATCCGATTCATGAAGCGCTGGCGAAGAAAACAACCTTTACAGCCAATTCGAAGATGATGATAATATGAAAGGGGGGATATTATGAACTTTGGTCAGTACTATGAATCGAGATTTTGTTCGCCTGCATATTTTGGTGCTGCGTGGAAAAAATGATGTAGATAGCTCCCCGTAAAATACTTATCGAGTGATCCGAAAAAACTGTCACCTTCACTGTAGGTTATCAAGCTAAGACTGCCAATAAGATAAGACCTATATAAACTACTTCACCGATTTACATACCTCTCCCTTCGATTTCCAACTTCTTGGTCTGTGCTCTTAGTGTATTGCTGGAGGGTTAGAGGAATTAGTGGCCGTTTTTACGTATTGTCTATCTGCGCACTAACAACTCGGGCCTCTCGCCTTCAACACCATCCGGCTTACCACCGCGATGGCGTTGTATTAAGGCAACCGACCCAAAGGGGATAATATATTGGCCGTGTCTGTATGGGAAAACCGAATCGCCACTACCGACTTTCAACCTCCGCTCAGAACTCTGAGTCTTCCTAGCGACAAAATAAGCCCCCCTTTTTACCTTCCGCGCACGTAGGGGCGGTGGGCAATAGGCTAGCCAATAATTTTATGACGCAGCTTTATCTGTCGGCGCAGGTACGAGGTTATTGGATTGGAGTATGGCGAAGTTAATGTATATTTGTTCTTGTGGTGTCATTGATGCCCAGGCTACCTACTTTACAGAAAGCAAGGCTCCCGAATGGAAAATGAGTCGTCAGGCTATGTCTATCACACATGTTCATCGCCTAGTCCAGTCGTCCTTTAAATTCCTCTCCTAGCAAGGATAATCTGATACACTAACATCACTTCAGGCTATAATCCATGATCCAGACTTGACCATGTGGCTATAGCCAGCAGTAACGCGTATCATTGGATGACTGTATTATTCATCTCGAGTGTCACGCGGCCACATCGCCAAAAAGTGTTCAAACAACCAGCAAGACTATTAGGATTACTAAGGGAAAGGTTACTGGTTATAATATATCACGAGGACATGCACGTCTCAAGCAGCTGCACCAATATGGGAGATCAACCGGCGTTTAGGTTACGTACCTTAGATTGTTGGCAAAGAGCTCAGAGTCTCTCACTCGGAAAGAGAAGGAGAGAGACTATGGCCCTCGAGGCTCTTAGAAAATTATCATTGGATTTGAATACTCTGCTCCAAGCCTTTATTACAAGACCTTGTCATCTTGGTGCTCCTATAGATAGCAATAATGTCTACGCGCGCCAAGGCTGTTGTCTTGCCCTGGGGTAAGAGTCACGTGGTGAGTTCAGGCTTGTGGGTGGACGTGGCATGGAAGACTCCACTGTAAGATGCCATAACCTCCAGTCCTAGAGGCTTCCCTATCAACATTTAAATGCAAAATTACAGTCTTAAAAACTTGATAGATAGCTAAACTCAGCAAGTCTTTACCGAGCGGGGAAATCGATTGATGTATTCTAACCCCACTAACATATCTTAAATCTGCTACGCCACCTCGTTACCCCTCTAGTTCTGATCGGACTCATTTTCGCGGAGAGATATAGTCAGAATACTGCCCACATCACCTCTCGTGTTATAGTTAGCCCTTATACTTATTTCTCGATATAATACATACTTAACTACCTGGCCCGGTTTGAAGAAACTAGTATTTTATACTCAAGTCATGACAACAAGCGCGCAGGCACTCAGGGACCACCAGACCCCTAAAAAGAGACCTGTGAGGGACGACTTGTCCGACTTCGAAACTCCGCTATTATGTGAATACAATCAAGAGAATATTGTAATACCTGATTTCGACCTACCGCAGAATTTGATCACAGAAAAGGTTCTGATAGCAGCAGCTGGGAACGTGGAACACGGGCGAGATGTAATGGAAATTTTGCTGGAGTTATGCCCTAAAGCTCCAGTTACGGCCGAGGTAATAGAGATGGCGGCAAGAAATGGCGGAAATGGAGCAGAGGTGATAGTGTTCCTACTCGAGCGGCGAAACGATTTGACGATCAACGAAGAAGTGATGGAAGCAGCAACTGGGAATTGGAGCCAGGGAGAGAAAATAACGGCCCATCTTCTCGACAGATTCCCACAGATTCCCATTACAGCAGCGACTGTGAAATCTGCAGCTGGGAACAGAGGACAAGGGGTCAAACCGATTTCCCTCCTGTTTGAGAAACGACAAAACATTCCTGTCACAGAAGAAGCTCTGAGAGAGGCCATATCGATCGGGGGCAAGGAAATCACAGAATTTCTAATCTGTCAATTGGGGACGGCGTTTCAATGTTCAGAAGGAGTGTTTGCAGACATCGCTAGTCGCTTTCCCGAGGATACGATGAAAATATTTCTGGACGCCCAACCAAAGGTGCCTATTACAGAAGCTATAGTTGCAGCAGCAGCAACTAACGGTTGGGGTAAAGAGAAAGTAGTCGATATCTTATTTAAGAGCAGGGGAATTCAAATACCGATTACGGAAACAGTGCTCGAAACAGCAGCAAGAAATAGCAAAGTGTTAAAAACCATTCTAACTAGAACTGGAATAGCTATTCCAAACTCAACAAGAGTGCTTATACCAGCCGCAGAATTCTGGAATCCGAAAGAGCTCGCAGATCTCTTCAACAAACACGACATGCAGGTAACAGAGGGAGTGTTCGAAGCAGCAGCACGAAATACTTTGGATGGAGAAAAGGTGATGGCATATCTCCTCAAGAAAATCAATAACAAGGCCTCGTTGAAAGACACGGTATTCAAGGCCGCAACGAGGAACTGGGAAAAGGGGGAAAAGATCATGTCACTCCTTCTCGAGCGAGCAGGGTTAGACTTTGAAATCCCCGAAGAGGTGATTGCCGGTGTTGCTAGACATTTCAGTCATAAATTGCTCTCATCCCTACTCTGCATAAAAGGGGTACAAATTACGGGCGGGATGGTTGAGGCGGCCGCAAACAATACTTGGCAAGGAGACAAAATGATGAAACTACTGCTTGAAAATTGGCGGCCAGATCCTGCCATTCTAGATGCCGTGGTTGAGGCGGCAGCTAAGAATACCGGGAAAGGCGACAAAATCATGGGATTGCTGCTCAAAAAGCTACCGAATATCGAGATGAAACAAGCCGTGATTGAGTCAGCAGTGGGTAATATAGAGAAAGGACAAAAAGTAATGAAATGCCTACTGAAACACCAGAGATTTGAGGTCACACCTACCGTGCTGGCGCTAGCGGCCGGGAATCGTAAATGCGGGACAGAACTCGTCAAACTTTTGCTTCATCCGAGCCAGATAAAAGAATGCAAGACCAAGACCAAGACGCATGAATTACTCGCAAATCTCATCGACGAAAAGGTGATCAGAACCGCAATAAGGAATAGGGGACAGGGAGAAGAGATCGTACAGCTTTTACTTCAGAAGAGAGAGGGGCGGTACTTCCCATATCCGGATTGTGTACTTGTTGAGATTGCCGAGAGGCTCGGCGTGAGAGCGATGAGTGTTTGTCTTGAAAGGTGGTCTGAGATCCAAGTTACTGAGGATGTGGTTAAAGCAGCCGCGAGGAACTTAGCAAACGGGAAGGATGTATTGGACCTGCTCCTTCAGAAATGGCCAAACAGCGTTACAGAGGGTATACTCATAGCTGCGGCGGAGAACCACGTTCAAGGCGACACGGTCATCGAATGTCTTTTCAAGAAACTGGGCAATGCACCAATCACGGAACGGGTGCTGTTGGCTGCAGCGAATAACTGGGGAAAGGGAGACGAAATCATCATGCTCTTGCTCGGGAAAAAGAATGCCAAAGTTCCCGTTAGTGAGGAATTGGTCGCCAAGCTCGCCAAGAGCCGGAGTTCTAAGGTGATAAAAAAATTACTTCACGGGCATAATGCAGGATTCTTTCTCATTGAAGAAACTGGGAATCGGAGTTCGCTGGATGAGAAATGTACTTCGACAGCTCCCACCAAGCAAGAGGGAAGCACCTGGCCAATGAAGATAGAAACTTCGTCAATGACAAGACAAAATGCGCATGATGGAGATGACAGTGGGAAACAGACTCGGTCTGAGGTTCCCCTCTTGTGTTTACACTCTGAAGAGATGGTTACGGTACCATTGTTGGAATGGAGCGATATTGTTGCTGATCACCAAGATCAACTGTCTGACTGGGTTGTTACAGATGTCGATCATATGAAGAGCTTCCACTTCTCTTCGGTCGAACATGAATTCCTCAGATTTGTCATTAAGCAGAGGGGTGTACTTAATAACGAGTCTCATTTCGTTTTCGCTGAGCGCATGGTAGACAAAGATGACGTTACCGTTGGCTGGAAACCCGTGAGACACCCCAAGCTTATGGGATGGTGGCTCATGAGATTATTCAAGGGTTATTTTGGTGATGCTCAGCATGGAGTACCGGGTTTAGCCAGTTCATCCTCTGTCACCCGCTGGAAGGCCGTTGGATATTCGGGATCCGATTACTTGTGCCGCCTGCGGTTTGTGGAGCCCTTGCTGTCAGTTTCCGAGCTTCGTCACGTCTTGATTAACTCGAGTTATTTAGCACCAAAATACTCTGCCACCTCCAACAACTGCTATTGGTTTGCTTATACAGTTTACGAGACGTTAAAAAAAGGGTGGCCATGTTCGGAATTTAGGAATGAGTATTACAAGCATAGGAGTATATTTGCCGTGTTTAAGATTAAATAATGATATGAAGCACTATATTCAAGCTGCATAAAAGCTTTAAGTATTAAGCAATATGGTGTGACGAACTTACACTTAGGTCCGTTAGAGTGTAGTAACTGGGGTCATGATTTTAGGTAAATAGTAGCGATATGGGTTAAGTGTTAATATAATGTTGTAAGTGTTTATTAAAAAGGTGTTACGAGCCAACAGGCAACGAAGCCATACCCAGTATGGAAGCGGGGATGTCAACCAACAGCGTTTCGGTTGAACCTCGGATATATGGATCTTATGGATCTTATGGATCTTGAGGATCTTACTAAGAGATATAAGATCCTTAAGATCCCTAAGAACTATAAGATCCACGATGCTTTTAAAAGAACTGTTGGTAGGTACGTACGTATAATATAAAGCAATAAACAAGTAAATCAAATAACAATGGGGGTAAGACTGGTGTATTGATGATGTCTAAGGAGGGAAGAATCTATCTGAGGCTAGCTAGCAGTGTGATGTCCTTTTATATAGTAATAGTGGGTACACTGTTTCTCCCTCCAGTATCGGTGATAAGGCACCTTATCCCCAATAAGGTGCCTACGCGCCGATGTCACACAATCACCACTCACTTTATTTTCTTTTCGCAACCAATTGATTGCGAAAGTGGTTTACATAATAAAAGAGAATCTTTAGGAAAAATAAATCAAAAACTTTACGATAGCGTGTGCCTGCGTTGGTCCGAATGTGTACCAGCATGCATACGGACTATCCTTCACACAGGCCAGTACGCGCTCGTGACAGTACACAATTGCACCAGCGTGCCGCATATCCCTGTGACAGGCCAGGGTCGGAAGTGTGATGGCTCAAATCAGGGGCTATCCCATGCGTTAGTCCATAATGGTTCATTGTTGCGCCATCCCACATCTGGGCTGGTTGGCAAGTTCTTATGTGGTATCCTTTGCTGTGCCGATACTTGCACCTGGCTGTGACAGCCTGTTACTGTAATAGCACATAACCGTTTCTAAGCTCTTTACGCTTCACTTACCCTTCCAGGCGTAGGTTAATTTGATTATTCTCTACCAATGATCTTATAACCTCATTTGGTAATACTTTTATTATAATGTTAGCCGAGTTGTATATGTTATAAATTTAATAAATATTATTTATTTTTTAGTTTTTGTAAGATTGTTATAAAGTTATTAGGTTAATTATTAATCTTTTTTTATTAATGCTTTTTATTTATATTAAGTATTAATATAAGGAAAAAGAATTAATATATAAAATAAAAAAAGCTTTTGGAATTAATAATTAATTTAAAATAATATTAATAAAATAATAAATAATAAAGTTTATATTGAAATTTTATATTATTTTATAAATTTTATTAATAAATATATTATAAGTAACGCATTTATATTTAATAAAAGATTAATAAATGATATTTTTAGTAATTTAAAGTTTATTATTTTAATTTATAAGTTTTTTATTATTTAAAATAATAATATAATTAATTTATAAATTAAAATTTTTATTATTTATAAATAATTTATTAATAAAAATATATAATTATAAGTTTTAAAGATTTAAATTAATATAATTAAGATCTTATAATTAATTATTTATTTATTATTTAATTTTAATATTAAAAGCTTTAATTTCTTTTAAATTAAGTTTAAAATATTAAGTTACTATTAAATAATTAAAAGCGGCTTTAAGTTAATATATAAAAGAAATGTACGCTTTTTAAGCTTTTTATTTTATAAATTATTTAATTATATTTAAAATTTTAATATTTAATAATATTAACTTTTTAACTTATTCTTTTTAAGTAATTATAATTTTATAATTTTTATTATAAATAATAATATAAGAACTATTAAAATCTTTAATTTTATTATTTAAGATTTTTTAAAAATGTATTTTAATTTTTGCTTTAGTAAGTATTTTATCTTTAATAATAAGGAATTCCGTTATACTTATATTTAAAGTATTATTCGTTTAAAGGTTAATAAACTTAAAAGGGTTTATATTTATTATTAATAAATAAAGGTTAAATGTTAATAATTTTATATGTAATTTTTATTAATGATAATGTAAGTAAATTTCAAATTAATAAGTATTTAATTTTGTAAGATCGTATAGTGATTTAATAATATATAATAACATCTTTTTAAGGTATTTATTTTTTAATTTTGTTAATAAATGTACGAAAATTGTTTTTTATATTAATATTTTGGATTAGGTATAAGTTATAGTAATATTTTTTATTATAATTTTTATTTCTTAATAATGGAATATAAGGGTTAATGTTAATATTAATTATTAATTAGCTTTTTAAATAATAAGTGCGTATATTATTATAAACTTTTTATTAAAGTTACTGTATTTTTAAATTATTAAGTGTGATTTTTTATATGGTGCGGGAGTGTTTTTATTTTTAATTTCTTAAATTATATATGATTTAAATATTGTTACTCCTTAGTATATCGTTGTATTATATATTTCGGATTATAATATTTTTTTATTAAAAAGAGTATTTAATTCTTTTATATTTAATACTTTATATAATTACCTTAATATAATTATCTTATTATTTGCTCGAAGTTATAACGTTAAAGTAAAGTTATTATATTCTTTAATATTAACATATAAAGTAACAATATGTGATAAGTTATTAACATATATAAGCTTTTTTTTTAAGATAATTTAATAATTATTAAGGTTAAAAATAAAGTTAAGTAATTTAATCTTAATTTCTTTTAATAAGATTAGGTTTTCCTTTAATTAAATATATAATTTAATGTATAAACTTTAAAATATAAATATATTATTTAATATATTTAAAGTAATTATAATGTTTTTTTCGGTAATTGTAATAACTTTATATGGTTTTTTTTTAATTACCTTTTTCCTTATAAATTAATATTTTATTTTTAATGGGTAAAAATATAAAGAGGGTTATTTTGGTATTAAGGCCGTTATAAGTGTTTAAAGCGTTTTATACGAAATATTACAACTTAATCTTTTTAATTTCCATTATTACTTTTTAAACTATTTATACTTTTTAAATTTGTGTGGTAATAAATAGCAAATTTATATTAATTTTAAAATAAGCGTTAAAAATAAATAGGGTTAAAATAAAACCGTCCGGGTTAACGGTATTATTAATTATTTTTACAGTTATTTAAAAATATAATATTTTTAAATTAAAATTTTTAAGTTTATTAATAATAATTTTATATGTTTTATAAATAAAACTATAGTACTTTTTAATTTTCCTAATGAATTAATAAGCCTTTATTAGTACTTAATGATAAGTAACCTTAATTATTTATGCTTTATTATGGAATTTAAAATTGTCGAAATTTATGCTTGCATTATAAGAAATAACGTTGGGTGGTTTAAGGTAGGTGTTAATTTAACATTCTTTTAATATTTCTTACGTTTTTTAGCAGTGGTTAGGGTTAGGGTTAGGGTTAGGGTTAGGGTTAGGGTTAGGGTTAGGGTTAGGGTTAGGGTTAGGGTTAGGGTTAGGGTTAGGGTTAGGGTTA